CATTCTTAGACTTCTGCTTCTGTGCTTGCCTCAGAATGCCCCTTCCATCTCTAGAAAGGCAAACATTTTAATGTCTAAGCTCAGTTGCTGCTGCTGTCATGTTAACACTGGCGGGGTTTGTCCCTTGGCTTTTCCAGAGACCACAATAGTTTGGTTGCACTATTCACAGAATACTGTCACACTTGGTTTGAGAACAGAGTTGGCGAAGAAGACCCTTACCCCTTATACAGGGGCACCTACAGCGTGGAAATTGAAGCTTGCTTCCTGTTTTCCATTGCCCTCTTAACCATAGTACAATGTTTTCAGTTTTGAGGAGAGGGAAATGAGAGAAGCATTTGTTTCCCAGCTTCTATTGTGATGTTTCAGCTGTATAAAAGGATGTAGGTGTCAAAGGTGCAGCCAGTCTTGATAGCACAGCGTCCTTGAGAAGGGCAGACCTGAATTCCAGTCTCCACAATATGGGCATATTTGATATTAAGCAACCACTAGACAAGGTGGGGTAGTACTGCAAGTCCTAGATTTTGTATTCTGGTGGCCAGGCCCCATTAGAAAAAGATGACCTTAGTGGTGTTCTCTTCAAAGCACAAACTACCATCCTGTGATGCCTTGACTATAGTAAATCAGGCTTTGTACAAAGAGAACCTGTGATCCTGAAGTTCTCTTTGCTTTATGGCATTATTTGATAGTGGGTGTCAAAGTAATTGTCTTTCATTCTCTCATACAGGATTGAAGTAAAAGGCTCTGGAAGCTGTGCCTATCTTGAATCCAAAGGAGTCTCGGCCTCTGGATGTTATTTAACCAGGAAGTGGGTCTGTAGTTTGAATATTGGCTTATCACGATAAAGGTGGATGAAGCCGCCACACCTGACATTTGGTGCTCTGATGTGATGCCTACACAGACTATATCTGTACTCTGGGACCTGGGAACACATCTCAGCTCCTGCCTGGAGGTGAATGGTTTTTCTGGTAGCCAGAATTCTGCACCCATGGAGGAAGCCTCTGTTGTTTAAACATAACCATTTAAAAGGCTTCAGCGTCTCGATAAGCCATCTCATTGCCCCATTTTTCTAGCTACCACTCATCCTGTAGGTGCCTTTTGATGTGTTATCAGTATTTCTTCCATTAACTGTTCTCTTGTAGGATCAGGAGCAGCTGCTCTTTTCCTTTTTGGTGTGCAGTTGGAGGTGTTTGTTCTGCTTTTTCCTTAGCCAACCTCTGTGTGCAGGGATGGGTTGTGAAGCTTGGGTCTGCCTGAAATTCTGCCAGTGCCTGTCAGATACAGGGTGATGCAGAAATGAGCACTTTTGGTTTGGACAGGATCATTGCAGATTCTGCTCTCCCAGTTTGATGAGGTGCATCTTGTGTGACTCTGCATTATATTGTGTTTTGTTAATGTTGTTTTACATTGATCTTGCTAAATTAGCTTGACAGTATTAACATTGTGGGATTTATGTAGCTGCACCACACCTGATGTTCTCCTTCCCACAGCAAAAAGAAAAGTCAGGATAAGAGTATTCACCTGAGCATCTGCACGGATGGTGAAGGAGTTTGAGTTGAAACAGTAATAGTGAAGCTGCAGGCATTAATGTTGTAAAGTTAGCTATAGTCTTCAGTGCAAATAGGCGAAGTCATGAGTAGAGAATAACAGAATTAACAGCAAAGGATGAATAAGAAAATTAAGAGAAAAGGATGTTCCTCCACGGCTTCCTCATGGCCTGTGCCTGTCTGAGTCTGAGGGTGGACAGTCTGTTTTCTGGAAGGACAGCAAGTGTTCTCTTCTGTGTGCATATTGTTTTCAGCAGCAACATCCCATGCTGTTGAATTGCTATGAGCCCTAAAGGAACTGAGGCACAATCCCGCTGAACCCTGTCCACTCATGTCTAGCAGGTAACCTGAAGATTTGAAGTGCCCTCTGACCCAGAGGAAGCAAAGCAGCTGGTTTTCCTGGAAGGACTACTCCTATCGGATATCTAGAGAAGGAAAAATAGGAAATTCACGTGTAAGGCAGGGCAAAAGAGCTTCCTTGATCGTCATAAAGTCTGGAAAATTGTTTTTCTTGTGATTTGGGTGCTATGGAGAGGACTATGGGATCTGTGGGACTTCTCGAAGGAGCAAGTGGAGCAATTTTTGGAGTAGCCACTAGAGTGCACTGTAGTTCCAGAGAAGGGAAGCTCATTGTGCCTTCCCAGTTGCTGAGAATGTAAAACTGCACCATGTTTGACAGCGTATTTGATGTGTGTTTGTTCGCTGGGTTTTCTTGTCCTGTTTGTCATTAATTTTGCCTTCACTGTGTTTTTATGCAGATTTAATTTCTGTCTACTTTTGTTCAGCATTTTGTTTATGGCTTTGTTATTTTCTTGGCAATGGGACCTTGCTGTAACAGGACCGTGCAGTATGATTATTGTTAACAACTGACTTTACTATGGTTATTTATATCTGAGCACTAATTTTGCTGAACTACCCTTTTTATAAATGTTTATATTCTTTATAAGCACAGTAACAGTACTCTATGGTCTGAACAGCCTAATAATCTATGTGTTAATTTATATGTAACTAGTTGGGGAGGTGTTACTCTGCAATCTTTTTAACTTAACTAGCTCTGAAGGACATGGTATGTGCAATAGTCCTGAAAAGGTACTTACTAAATATCTTTACAGAGCCTCTGAGTTACAGTGGTTTGTGTCTTAGTATGGTGCCATTAACAGTAATTTTTTAGCTCAGGTACCATATGGGGGAAAAGAAAATCACCAGACTAAAGCAAAAATGTTCAGGTTTTGAATATGACAAGATCTTCAATCATAATGTTGGCGTTAACAGGAGACAAGACATTTCACCCAAAGAAGAGAGCATTTTACTTTCTAACACTTCTAACAGTTTCATGTTTCAGAATGTGTCAGACTTTTAACAAAAGCATGTAACTGAAATGCTGAAGTACTCCTGTGGAAACTGCTGAAATGTACATAGAGAAACACACAAAGTACAGTAACATTGGAGGGAAACGTGGAATTTTCCACATTTGGTCTTGTAAGGTTTTCTAAATACTTGCATTAGAGGCATACTAGAGGTACATTTCACAGAATCAGTGGAAATTGTAAAGGATAAGGAGTATTCATGTACTGTGTTGTGTCTTCGCCTTTCTTAACGAACTGATTTACCTGAATGTTGCCTTTAACTACAAAATAACATCACTTTTGCATTTCTTTCCCATCAGTGTTGTCTATGGGTAGAGTCCAAAAAAAAGGGAAATTTTGGTTCTTAAAAGAGGTTTTGGAGCAACTGTGAGCACAGTAGGTTATAATGAAAGCTCTGTTGTAATCTTAAGGGCTGCAGTTAGCATCTTCTTCAGTATCCAAAGTCTGTCATGCTAAGAAATGAAGGGTCAAGAACTAATGATCTAACTTTACTCAGAGTAGGGTTTGATGAAGTACTTCAGTGACCATTTCTTCTTTTTTAATTGGTGGAATTACTTAAGACTTAATGACTGTTTAAAATGTCAGTAAGAGCTTCCTAAGGCCCTGCAAAACCATGTTTAATTATGTTGGTAACAGAGATTGCTCAAATACTAGACATTTCATGAATACTGTTAAAACCTAAACACCAAAACTGATTAGAAAGAAGGCAGCTCGGGAGTTTTAAGTTTTTCTTGTTAATTCAGCATGGCTCAAGAAACATCTGCCATAAAACCAGCAATTCAGTGGTTGTCTCCAGTGCATGACGAAGGATATGCTTTAAGTACCCTGAAGGTGTATTTCCTCAATTGGAATGTATCTATATAAAAATACATATAGACAGATACGTATACTGTAGATAGATATATCTTACTCATTTCAGGCTCTTCCCTTGCCTTTGCTTCTCTGTTTAGAATAAACAAACCACTCCTCTTCCCCAAACACATGCTGCACTGAATTTGGGGGATTTTTCACTTTTTTTTTAACATGAGAAAACCAGTTTTTCAAATGAGTCTTTAGCCAGTGATGCTGCATTCTGGAGGGAGGAATTCTGTGTTGTCTATTTATTTGAAAAGAAGTCAGCCACCCTGAAGATACTGTACTTTTCAATCTGTAGCCCCAAAGTAACAAAGACCCACTGTGCTGTGCCAGTGGAACACAGCAGACTGTGTCATGTGATTTGTATCTCTTTCACTGAAGATCTCTTATGCCCTTTTAACTCTCACTTATGCATGCCTACTACCTTCCTAGGATCTCTGTCTTAGCACCTCTGTTAAGTGCGGTGTTACCCATCAATGTGTGCAGATGGAGAGGTATCAGTCTAGGTCTTACCGTATCGCTCATTTTGTTCCATAGCTACAGTCATTTGCATGCAAAAGCCATAGTACTTTATACCAAGAGCTCATGTGCAACCATATAGGTTGGTTACTCATCACAAGTTGCCAGACATTAATCACATCCCTCCACAGGGACACTACACATGTAGTGCAGGTATGAGACAACGTGCCTGGGAAACTGCAGCTGCCTTTAATTGTGTGTATCATAGCAAAGATGAGATAAATGCTTTAAATTTCAAAAGACATGTTGGACTTGTTTCTCTCATTGCTAACAAACACTCTAATTCCAGTCTGTGCAGTTGTGGTAGAGTTGCACCTTGGATTTTAACGTTAGGTTTTGTTTTGTTCTGTTTCCTCCAAACACAACTAACCGCATATGGTTAAGGTAAAAAGTACATGAAATTATAGTAAAACTCTGGAAATTTAGAATCTCCCATTGACTGGCCCTGAAATTATTGCATAAATTCTAGGAAATGAGTAAGAATTCAGCTTCTGATTTCTTGCACATCACACGGTTCAGGCGCACAGTGCTCATCTTCACAAGTACCTCTTCTCCCTTGCCTTTTCCTAGAGGCAACTGCTGCCAATGGCTGGCTGTGAGAAGGCTCAGCACCCCCAAATCCAGACATGCTGATGTGCAGTCCTGTTGCATGACCTTCACCCAGGCACCTGGCAGTGTCCAAGTTCCCTGTTTGCATCCAAACAAAGTCTTAGGGATCACAGAACAGCAAAATACAGATTTCTGTGGAAGTCTCTTAAAATTATTTACATCACATGTTGTTTTATCAGTAAAACAGGTCTTCTGAGAGAAAGCTCTCTCTGTTGTCTGATGATTGGGGGTTGGAACTAGAAGATTTTAAGGTCCTTTCCAACCCTAACTATTCTGTGGTTCTATGGTTTGCCTCAAAGCACCAACAAAGTTGCATTCTTCTTACAGATCCACTTCTTTAAAGTCTGGCAGTTATCTACTTGAATCATGTTTTTTCTTCTGTAAACAGCACAATTCTTGTCAGTCTCAATTCTATTTATAGCTTTCCTGGTGAGAGAACGAAAGGAATGCAGTGAGTTGTCAGCTTTAAATTCAGTACTGAATAAAAATGTTGATGATATTCTGAGTAGGAGTTTGTGTGGCACCCAGTCTGTAACCTACTGAAGCCCATTTCCTCAACAGCCATGTGTAGGTGGGATGAGCACCCACAGCAGAGATGACTGCAGGCTGCTAAGGGATGTAAGCTCAGGAAAATTAGTGTAAGAAGGATAAAGGCTCCATATGCAGCCATGATGATGAACTGTAATGGTAAGAGAACTGCTGCACAGATCCTAGCACCCATGCTATGTGACAGGCATCACTTTCAACAGAGGTGGTCAGTATATGGTCTGTGAAGTCAGTGAGTCTGTTGATAGTGATATCAGTGGGAGAAGTGTGTGTTAATGTCCCTCTACATTCATACATACATGAATTGTGATTGTGGTTGGTCTTGCAGGCAAAAAATGGATGTTTCCAAAGATGCCCAGCAGGAACCAGACAACCTGGAACTGGCGGTGAAATAGGCCCTGAATAGGTGCCTGACGCTGTAGGACTAGATCTGTGCTTTGGGAAATTAGCTTGGATTCAGAGTTGAATTTCTATGCAAAGTACTATACTTTTGCTACTGCCAAAGACAGCACACACACACAAATTATGACCTGTTTTCTTTTACTCCAGGATCCTCAACTGAACTCCATTGTTTCTTCATGTCTGGAATCTTCAAGCCAATCCAGATATATTTGGTATCTTTCTCTTTATTGTCTATGAATTCCTGTGGAACAAGCAGAAGCATATTACCCAACAGTAGAGCGTTTCTGCTGTGCCCAAGTCACTATCCTGTCTCATGCACAGCTTTTCATGTAGTCCTTCACATGGAGAGCAATGGCAGGAATCCAGCTGTGGCAAAGCAGCCCATTACAATGGCCCATATGCATGTGACCAGCCACAGTTTTAATTCCAGTTGGCGCTCAGGTTAACTAGCTTCAAAAAACCCCTCAGTGATGCTCCTCACCCTGATGAGCCAGGTTGCAAAGCCTGGGCTTTAGGGTGAGACGTGTTCCTCAGGGAATTCTGAGTTTCTCAGAAGGGCCATTCAGCTGCTTTTCTCAAAGGAAAATGCGAAGTCTGGCTGTTTGTATTCTCATTTAGTGGTTGAATCAGACCTCTCTTCCCAGAGCCAAGTAATGGAAATGGGTGGGAATTTCCCACCATTTCCTCCCCCAGGTCAAAAGTACTCTGGTTTCTACACCTGCATCTCTTCTGCCTCTCCTCTTCAGCCTCTCTTGACACTCTAGAAACAAGCTCCTGTGGAGAGTCAGATGCTTTGCATTTGATGGGGCTCTTAACTTGGCTGCATATACACCTGACATTTGGGCTGTGTTCACTTGGTGAAGTGTTTGGCTAAGGCAGATACCCATTGCACAATTTTAGGGCTGCTGAAAGACTCACCATTTCAATTTCATCTTCAATAACAAGAAGCTGGGATTTCCTGGCCAGACAGTTTTTCTGGCTATCATCCCAGCTTACAGCCTCCTCGGAGAAGTAGTAACATCTGCTCCTGTGCAGTTGCCACCCAGGAGGACACAGCTCACATGTTCTTCCTGTGAGCGGAGAAAGGGAACAGTTAGCTCACAGAGTGACTTGTTCCATTTACCTTGTAGCATTTTATGTTCATGTGCCTGGGTGGCATGAAAGCAGCCTGTCCCCACTCCCAAGCTTATGTTCACTGGGTGTAGAGAGAGATTTGAAGGCTCCAGTGCCATTCCTCTGCTCAAACTCCCACTCCCTTGCCATGGTGCTATGTGCTTCTGTACTCCCACTGCACATCACTGGGCTCTCCACCTCCCTGGGCACCTGCCCGGTGGAGAGCATCATCAAGGAGTACATAGAAGGCTGACTTTTCATATCCCCGCATGCAGTCCCTGTGAGGAGGCACTGTGTGATGTGATGCGGAGTGTGTGGATTTGACACATCATGTGACCAGAAAGCACAGGTGCTTATCCAAACTGTGTCCATGGAACTGGGGAAGGAACTGTGTTCCAGAAGGGGAACACTGCTGTTCGCAGGTCTACTTCCCATGTCACACACAGCATTTGGAAGGAACATCCCCCATATTTCCTTTAATGTTTACAAAACACAGTTACAATCAGTTCTTAGAACAGGGTTAGTATTTGATAGCAAATAATAGACCCACAATAGAAAGATCACAAATTCTTCCCCTTCCTGATGCTTGCAAGAGGTTAGGAAATGACCTCCCGCTTATTGCAAACAATTGTTGTCTGGAAAGTGTTTTCCCGAACAGTGGGAGGAGCTACAAGATACAGCATTTCTGACAGAAGCTCCTGGCAGTAATGAATTTAAAGAAAGTACTGGAAACTATTTATACCAAAAGAGGATCAGAACTATTGTCATAAACTGTTAATTCAGATCCTGTCATCACTTCTGTGCAGGAATGCCATGTTCCCTGGGTAGAATCACTGAGTCGCCAAAACCTGCAGACTGTCAGAGAAATAGGAACAGAGACAACAGAATTGTGCACCCAACACATCTCTGTGCTGGTGAAGGACTAACTTTCCTCACCCTGTCCATCTTCACACAGTTCCTCCATGAGCCATTTCAGGAGCACTGCCAAGACAGTCTTCTCTGAGGAGGTGTGATTGCCAGTGCTATTTACACCAATATGGGACAAACTTTCTGATCTGCTTGCTCTGCACTTCAAAACTTGAACAAAAAAAGAGATTATGGTTAACAACAGGGTCAAGAAAATTTACTGTGTGAATATGAGGATATGTGTATGTACATATACACTGGGGGGTAACACACTCAGTTATAAGCATACTCTGTGTATACTGTGTATACTGCCATACCCTGGCAAAGGGTGAAGCTGCTGAATAATATGAACGGTATAGAAAAAGAAAGTAAGTTTGTCATTACATAAAGAATACACAATATTTTGGTGAGATTTTAGGGACAGTTGGAAAGAGCGTGTTTTCTGAAGTTTTCCAAACTTTTATCCCTCTGGAACAGTTCTTGTAAAACTGGAGCATGCTATGGATTATGATATTACTACTACCAGGGAAGTCTGATTAAATGAAATTATCTGAAGTCTGGTTTTTATTTCATTTGTTCAAACCTACAAAGAAATTAAGCAAAGTGGTCTCAAAGTAGCATTATAGATACAAGTTTTAACTTCTAAGTCAGGAAGTGCAAATGTTTTGATTGTCATAATGATTTGAAACCACCTACACTTTTCAGCATCACTGACGACCAGGTAGACTGCAGCAACTCCACCTCAGCTGCACAACATATGTTAAACAACAGGTAGCAAATAGAAAGCCACATTTATTTTCCTGCATTTGTGTATAACTTGACACCTTTCACTAAGGGAATTTCTCTTTTGGTGTGGCTCTGCCTTTGAGGTTTCACCATGTATGCAATGAAGAGACAAAGGATTTACTCACATTGCTTGGCTAGTACAGCTATGACACCTAGCAGGACAAGCACAAGGGCTCCCAGGATCAGTGCCACGTAGAACCAGGCTGAGCGCCTGTGTCGCCAGCCTGGAGGGAGGTGGGAAGAAAAGCAGCTTTAGGTCTTTGCGCTGTTAACACTGCCTTTATCTATGTGAGTTTCTTACGTGGAAGCAATAGAGAGGTCAGTCTGCCGCTTGCAAGCATGCAGGGACATTTTACTCATTAAGAATTTGCATCCATTTTACATACATGCAAGTGAAGCTGAAAGATCCTTTGGTCAGACAGAGCAAGTGATTTTCAATCAATCACTCTTAAGAATTCACTCTCTCTCCTTTGAGGTAATTTGCTCAGGCATTGCCTTCTGCCACCGACCCACCCACACCTGGCAAGACCCTGCAGAGCAATTCAGGGAAAGTATCAGGGATGGTCTGTGGTATATTGCTCCTCTCTGGCTGCACTCTCTTGTGTTAACATGCCTGAAAGCTAACTTACCTGAATTCACAGAAAAGACAAAAAAACCCATACTGACACCATAGCACAGTGATCTGACATAGCACAGATCTGACAAGCATCTCTCCAGCTGTTTGACACTCATCAACTGGTGAGAGTGAATCACTCAGGAAGAGGCAGAACCTGAGGAAATTTGGGGTCAAGGTGCTATTTCCACAAGCCACAGAGTTGCACTTTCGTAACTGCTGTTTTCCTGACGTTGCCTGCATGAGATAGACAGGCAACTCCCCCACTCTCTGGCTGCCTGAGATATGTTTTGTAATGTTTCCTTGCAGCTTTCTGGGGGCCTGACCTTGCCTGGAACATGACCTTCAATACAGGGAGGCTGACAGTCCATCAGCACACTAACTGCACATGGAGGGCTGGGTATTACACTACTTCTAAAGCCAAAGGTGTCCCTGTTACTGTTCCTGCGGAGAAACTTAACAGCAGGGTTCCTAAAATCTGTGGAATTTTACTTTCCTTTGCTAAATTTTCAATGTAGGGCACAAAGGCATTTTTTTAAATTATTTTAAAAATCTCTTTCAGTATTATTTTTACAGGGAAAATGTATTATCTGAGAAAACAGGAAAAGAAAAAAGAAATCTTATTAAGTGATAAATAAGTTCTTTATTGAGAGATTGTATGTAAAGACTCTTTGATAACAACTTTTACTGTTGGGTAATAGGAAAGATTACATCTATAGTTAGTAACCAACGGCCAAACAAAATAGCACACTACCAGAAGCGGAAGTCTCTGATCTGCTGCTCCTTTTGGGTTTCGTCTTCACGCGCAGTTCAGCATATGTGATCATGTTTCCTGTTAAGGAGTAGGGAAATGCTGACATTTGTGGTTATACAAGCCATTAACTGGAGAAACAGTAAAGAATTACACAGAAGACCTAGTCTGCATAAAAAGGGGCATGTGTTTCCATAGCTGCTAGTTCAGCTTTTTCTTTTAAGAAACATGAGTTGAGATGATGACTGATCATTTCCTGCTGCTGCCAGGAAGCAACTAAAAGCCTCCTCCGTAATCTTTGCTTGAACTACTTGTGTCCTGTATGGCTGGACCAGGAGGCAGGCAGACAGACTAAAAGATGGGTAAGACCTGGGTACTAGGCATCACAAATATTCCGTTGTTGCTAAGCCACCTCAGGAGTTATCATAGGGACTTAACCCCTTTGTGGACCAGGGAGATCCCTAAAGGAAAACTGCCACTCAAGAGAAATGTTTCTGCAGCAAGGTGACTCTTGGGGGCATTCCTGACTTGTGAATGTTTATGCTGGGATATTATGTGATGCCTGTAATAGCAGAGGAAGGGATTTGGTGGTTGAAGATATCCATTTCCAGGTGCACATTGCCAAAGCAACAACAAAAAAGGCATTAAAACAGCATGGTGTGAGTTAGATTCTTTATGAAAACATTTAAAATTCTGTTTTATTGGGGTATTTTGTAGAGCTACTCCCTGGTTTTATGGATGGTATTTGGACCTTTGGTAGACTGATCTCGATTTCATAAATGGTGAAATTTTACCAATCTGAATCAAGAATAAGCTTCATGCTACAGTCTTAGTTTGTGATCACTGGAGCTTTTAAAACAAACAAAGCAATTTGTGTTGTATAAAATCTCACTGATCAGGAAAAAACTTGGAAGAAGAGGGTCTTATGTTAAATGAGGTAGGTTTTGATATGAGAATTACTGAAGTGTGTTGAGGTTTTGCAGTAAGAGAAATACTGAGCACCTGAGGCAAATAAGATTTATTCATACAGGTAAGCTGTTCTGTGCTTTAGAGAACCTGACCTAGTACACTTCGCTGCTTGCTTTATTGCAATTTATTAGTTCAATGAATTGCAGAAAATGTGTAAGTTCTATTGAACTGCATGGATAAATAACTGCTCTCAAAAAGAAATGTTTATAAAAGTTTTTCTTCTTAGAGTGCAAATATTTTTCAGGCAACAGTCAGGACTTTCAAACTTTTCAGTGCACGAGCCTTGTAAATGGAGACACTTCTAAAATATGTACTTCAGAAAATCTGCTCCTAAGTATTTTCTCTCTCAAATAAAGATCCATTCCTTTAAAGAATATCTCCCAGACTGTAGGAAAAAGGAATTATTATCCACATGAACTGAATATTGAAAAAAAAGGATTACTTCTGTCATGGTGTGTGTTGGCACATGGCCATCTGAATGTCAAGTCCTCAGAAGGCAGCATTTTTAAAATACCACATAAACTTGATTTTACCGGATGCTTATGCTCCCTTACCTAGTTTAGCAACAAGTAGCCCTGGTATTAGATGGGGATCATAGAATCATAGAATAGTTAGGGTTGGAAAAGACCTTAAGATCATCAAGTTCCAACCCCCCTGCCACAGGCAGGGACACCTCGCACTAAACCGTATCACCCAAGGCCTCATCCAACCTGGCCTGTCACTTCCTTATACTGAAATTTCACTTCATTTCTGTATGCAAATTTTCAAGTGCAGAAAGACATCTCTGTTTACTGGAAGGTTCTGTGTGGTGAATGTGCAGATAGGGAGTGCTTCTGGCAGGTCAGCCACTCAGGAGTGTCAGGCTTTACAGACACCAGGCTCTTGGGTTTCACTGGACAGCAGGTTGAGTGTGGGCCCACAACGCATCCTCATCATTACAGATCATGCAAGCCACCAGAGGGGCTGAGTTAAGAGACCTCTGGTTTGCAAAGGAGGGGAAGTTCCTGTGCTGCTCCACTTGCTCCTGCTGCAGCCACACCTGGAACATTGTGTCCAGATGTGGTCCACTCCATTCAGGGGGGACCTGGGGGAAACTGGAGGGGATCCAGCAGAGAGCAAGCCTGGTCAATGCCTGGACGGGCTGAAGAGGGTAGGGAGGGGAACAAGAAGCTAAGGGGAGAACTAATATCAGCCTACAACTATTCGTGGGCTACTTTGAGAATGGAGTTGAACCCTTCTTGGTTTGTTTTTCTGCTAGAGGAAAGGTCATATAGGTAATCATTTACGAATCATAATGAAGTAACTCTCAAATTATTCTTGAGTAAACTAGGAACTTGAGTCTTTCCTTAGAAGATGGGTTTCCAGGCTGTAATTATCTTTGTTTGCATTTTTGTAACACTTTTCTACTTTTGAACATCTGTTTTGAAGCACTTGCTAGCCCACCAAAGCATGTTCACAGATAGTACCACATACTAACTCCTCATCAACCTACTCTAGTAGAGCATCCAAAAATCACCTTGTCCTTGTCATTCAGAGCACCTGACTCACAGCTGAAGTCCAACTGGTTGTGCAACAATCTGGTGTCAATCTTCCCATCTGAACACGATCACAACAACTCCATTTTGACCCCTTTTCTGGGTGCAGCCAGAAACTTGGAGCTGCAGACGTTTTTTAGTGCTACATTGTGTTAAACATTATTTAACACAGGTTTCCCACTCTATAGATTTCAATGAGTAAGCTTTCCTTGGCATTATGTTGTGAACCTATGCATGTTCTGCAATTATGCCACCAGTGATTTTTATATCTTTTTCTGTATCCTCACAAAACTTGATGATCTTAAAGATCTTTTCCAACCTAGTTGATTCTATGATTCCATGAAAATACATTGAATAGATTTTGAGATAAGAACGGTATTTGGGAGAACTCCAAGAAACTCTGTAACTTGAACAAACCAAATCCCTCTCACATGGATAAGGAAAAACAGAAAATATGATCTATAAAGAGACTTTTATTCTCAAATCCAAATTTTACATATTTAAAACACCTATTCAACTGCTAGAAACCTTGGCAGAAATTCAGGTTCCCTCATGTTTACCTTTCATGTGTACCAGATCTTAACAGAAGCTATATGTTAGCAAGGTAAATTACCTGTGCTCCCCACTCATAGTTTTGGTATCTACTCCAGTATGCAATTTACAACCTAACATTCTGAAACTTGCACAAAATGCAGCCAGGAGGAGTTGGGCATGTTCTACTTTCCGATAGCCTTGTGATTTAAAGTCTTGCCTAAAGTCTGGGAATCTGCTACTCAGAGCATTCACCTGCTGAATTTGCAGTGCTGATTAAATGCAGCCCTCCCTCCTCCATGGTGACAGTTTTACCACTGTGCGCTGCTTTCCCTCATGCTCATCTTGAAGCCGCTTCTTTTTTTTGCAAGAAAGGCAGACATCCCTGGCCAAGAGCAACACCAGCAAAAAATCTGGCAAAGGGAGGGATGTGGGTATGAGCCATTCTCCAGCAGGCATTTCAATGTGTCACAGAGACAGTGCCAAAGGGAGAGCGTGTGATGCTTGCCACAGCTCCCACCTTGGAGCTGAGAATCCTCACTTTGAGAATCAAATTCCTGCTCCAAAGGAGGATGCATCGAAACCTCTTCATGAACAGTGCGACATGCTGTAACTGTGTTTGGCATGTGGATGCTGTCCTGTTTGAAGCAGCTTTGAGCCCAGCCAATGTAGGAGAGAGCTCCTTCTAGCTTGTAGGGAAGGATCTAACTCCCAGAAATGGTTAACCAAGCAGCACCTTTTGTCATTGCTCTATCCTATTATGCAGCCACTTTGGGCAGTTCATTGCTCACCATGCTAGGATCCCAGACTCTCCTCCTTTAGCTGTAAAGAACTGCAGGGCATCTCAGGGAGTCATTACTACGCAGTGGGGAATCTTAACACTAACCACTGCTGTACTTACACTGAGCTTAAGTCTGTTTTATAAATATTGCTCAACATGTCCATCACATTTCAGGATTGTTTCCTGAATTTCATACCAAGTATTTAAAAATTACAGAACTTATTCTGTAGGAAAAATCCATTTTTTCCCTTTCTTCCTGAAAGTTACTCTTTTCTTTCACAAGAATTTCTTGTAATAAAAGAACACTCACCACCTGGATGACTATGTGTGAATTTCAGTCAAAGTTTTAAAACATCAAGGAACTGGAATTGTTCGTTTGCATTTTTAAAGCATGATAATATGGCTCAAGTTCTTGTCTGTTTTAATAATGATGAAAGTCATATTAATATATGTTAATGATGAAGACAGAGAAAGAATTGTCATCAGGGAGGTATTTCTAGCATGTTCTATGCTTCTATTAAGTCCAATATTGCTTGATACTATTTGGTGCTTTTTCCATTTGTGTCAAAGTAGAAAAATAATTGCTAACAAAATCCAAAATAACAGGAAGGTTAACAAACAATAAAAAAAATAAGCCAGCCATAATAATAGCCCTGTAAGTTCAAGCCCCGTCAAACAAACTGTGTTTTAGTATAAGCAGACAAAGGTGGGGAGAGAGAAAGGGCAAGGAGACACCAGGCATTATAAACAGTGGAGGATGGATCATTTAAGGTATTTTTGTCTCTGTGTAACTGAGACAGCGTAACTGAGACTTGTGGAAATACTGCGTGCATCTCTAGTGCCCATATTTTGGTAGGAGATGGAAACACTGGAGAATGACCAGAAAAACTTCAGAAAGCTAGAATGAAAGACTTGAAAGCAAAAGGACACTAAGAAATTACTTTATTACTGTGACCAGTAACTTCATGTGAGAATATACTGAGTGCCAAAAGCTATCTGACAAAGTCTTAACAAGAACTATCTAGATGTTAATGAGAACTTGAATGGGAAATTAAAGCCTACCCTATTTAAATTGAAGCTTTTCCTTCAGACAGCATGATCAAGGGACATACTTTGATGTCTTCAAATCAAGATTTGATGTCTTCTTAGAAACTGGGTGAAATTC